TTCCCCCGGGCTTGCCAAACAGTTTATCGAGCATAAAACTACCCGATGAAGAAAAGAGAATACCTAAAATACTTATAATCTTTAACTTATTTTCAATATTTTAAACCTCCTAAATGGATATTTAAAGTTTTCTTGGTTTATTGGTTCCGTAACACAATAATCTTAGTTTTAGAAATAGTCACGGTCATTTTCCATTCTAAACAATTACAGATTAAAATCATTTAAGTAAATTTTTGAAAAATTCGTTTTCTCTTATAAATGACAGTGTGGTCGTCGGGCATATAATAATACAGTACAATTTTAAATATGTTAAGGACATTGTCCGTCAATGTTTTAAAATATCAATTGCCTTTTGAATTATTACCGAGACAAATGGCTCTTCTTAAAGTCATTAAGGTATATAGAAAAAAAATTGGGGAACAAATAATAAATTACAACTTTTAATCAATTTCTCAGGTCACTAAAATTACTTTCTGAAATATTCTAATACATGTAGTAGCCGTGTATAATTTTGTTTAACATTTGCTATGCCTAATTCCTATTTTTTTTATGTGTGTGCTGTTATAATTTAGATATTCAGTTTACCTTATTAATTCTGATAGAATGATTAATATACATGTTTTTTTATAATGTTGTATATAGATAAGACTGGAAATGAATGAATGAAATGAATGAATGAATGAATTTAATAAATTTTAATTTAATAAAAAAATCTGGATCATTATCTTTTGTAATAAATTTCCCTATAATTTAATAATAATTAATTATTTGAATTAGTTTTAATTAAATTGAATATGATGTACATCAATGTAATCAAAAGTATACAGAAACCAATAAGTTTGCTTAAAGTAAATATTTCATATTGTGACAAAGTGATATTATGCTCATTTTTCATTGTTAGGTTGAACTGCATTAGAAATATATTTCATTTTAAAAGATGATGCTTAAAAATCAATAATATGGATAATATATAGAAACTGTCTAAAATAAAATAAGAAAGCTTGTCTCACTCTTTTTATCAATTGCACGTTACCCATAGATCACGAGGAATAGTTATAGAACTTTAGTGTGTCACGTGAGCTATTGAATCAGATCATTTTTTGTGACGAGGAATACAAAAATTGAAAACAATTATGAAAAATTGTAAAGTTATTTTGATATTTACCTGTGCACTCACCATTTTGAATTTAATGTACATAGTGTCACTTTAATTGAATGACTCGTGTATCTTCCTTCCCATAATGTATTGTAGCAAATATTAAACAACAATTGTTAGTTTACAATTTGTGGGGAAATACAATGTTTTACTATTTCATTCATTATATTCGTACTTTCGTACTTTTTTTAAGTATTCATTAAAATTTATCTTTTGAAGTTAGATATGTTCTCCAAAGCGTATTGAACCGCCTTTAACATCCTTGTCACAAAGGTATACAATTTTCTTTCTGTATTCTATAAAAGTTAATTGTTTTATCAAAGGTAAGGCTTCCTGGTTTTATAAAATTCGCTTAATAAAGTTAAACATGTAGTTTTTTTTAAAGATTTAAGATTTTCAAAAAAGGGATTACTCAGACACAGCGAGTTTCAGGCAGACAATGGCGGATTTTAAACACGTGACTCTGCTATGTCTGGTCAGTCTCGTTTTATTTGGTACAATGAAAACCTCTTTAGCGAACACTGATGACAAAATGGTACCAGGAACAATGTTGATTATGCATCAAAATTCAAGTAAGAACAATCATACATTTTTCTTACACAACAATATTTCTTTTGTATAAACCTGACAACTATATTTAAGAACGGCATGTTTGTTGTATTTAACCAGTTACATTGGAAAAGGCAAGTGTGGACGTTGCCAGTTAACCGTACGTAAGAAGACGTTTTTAGAAGAACAACTGTCCACATTGATCATCATAATTGTACATTTGTATCCTAAATATTACCGCGTTAGACAAATCTTAACAGTTCTATCATTCAAGTTGGTCAGTGAATAACTTTTAAGATGATAGGTTTTTATTTTGTGTTCTATATTGAGCATGTTTAGCGGTTGTCGTGGGAAGACTAAATATGAACGAATTCCATCACATTATGGTGAGGGAAAAGTTTTTAAACTCTATAATTTACCTGTCATATGAACTACAAAGTATTACCAAGACATCCTATAATCATGAGAGGCAATGTGAGAACTCGGTTAAATAAAGATAGTTCTAACTGAGTTTTATTATCAGCCATATTTTCAATGGGTAGTTTTATTGTATAGTAATGGCACTTTGTAGTCAATTATCAATGAAGCATATTGTGTTAACTTGTTCGGTAACACTTAACAATTGTGTTATGTACCTAACACTATTAGAATTAACAGAAAATTATTTTTTTGAATTTACTTATGCAATTTAAAAAAACACATACTAAATGAACATTATTGTTATTATCATTACCACTATTATAATGATAATTTTTATTATTATTAATATTTATTTATTTATTATTATTATTATTATTTATTATTATTATTATTGTTAAAGATGGATCAAAAACGCAGGAAAAAGGAGTGGAAAATTACAGTTTTGCTCCTGGAATGGTGTCTGTGGATTGTCTCCGCTGTCTATGTCTGGTTTGTACAAGCAGGATATTTATATTTCGCGAAGTTTCCTTTTATCTATCAATTTCATTCTTAGCCATTTACATTTGAATAAAATCGTTTTCATATTTAGACATATACATTTGAATAACATCAATTTCATACTTAGCCATTTATATTTGATTAACATCGATTTCATACTTAGCCATTTACATTTGATTAACATCGATTTCATACTTAGCCATATACATTTGATTAACATCGATTTCATACTTAGCCATTTACATTTGAATAACATCGATTTCATACTTAGCCATTTACATTTGATTAACATCGATTTCATACTTAGCTATAAACATTTGATTAAAATCGATTTCATACTTAGCTATAAACATTTGATTAACATCGATTTCATACTTAGCCATATACATTTGATAAACATCGGTTTCATACTTAGCCATTTACATTTGATTAACATCAGTTAACATGTGATGGAAAGTCAATTATTGTACATGCCAATTAATCATTAGATTTAAAATGTTTTCGTTTTAATGTAATCTTTACGTTATTTCGTATCATCCGAGATTTGCATGGCTTGGTCTATCTAAAATCAAACGTTTAGATAGAGGTCAAGGTACAATAAAACATTAGATGGTGGTATTATCAAAATAGAAAACAACAATGTAACACGGATAAACTGTTGAATGGACGTCTTGAATTAAATGGTACAAGATCGGCAGCATAAAAAACTGGGTTTAATAGGGTTTTTAGTTTTAAAAAATTTTTTAAAAATGTGTTTAATTTTAAATTTTTTAGGGGGTTTTTTCAAAACTTTTGAACGCGGTTTTGGGGGGGAAAAAAAATTGGGAATCATTACCAAATTTTGGGTAAATTCCGTTATCTCAAGCCCAGGGGGAAAATTGTAAGACGCTTCCTGGTGTACATTTTGGTTAGTAACTTTTATTTCTACACGATAATGCAATATCATCTACTTGTATATGTTTCCTATAATTTTCTTGTTTCTTCCTTTAATGCAGTCATGGTCCCCTGCCATTTCGGAGAAAAGGGGTAATATATAAATGGGCTTCGTCCGTGTGTCTCTCCGTCCGTCCGTCACACTAGTGTACGGTCCGAAACTAAGCCATTCATCTAGGATTATTAGGAATTTGAAACAGGTTTGCACAAATGTTTATTATAATAAGACAAGGTGTCATGCGTTACATCCATGCCCAAATTTCCAAGGTCAAGGGCACACTCGGGGATTAAAGATGTCTTTTGAATGGTATATGTGGTGACCGGTCTATAAATTTTTCATCCGTCAAGGGATTTTGAAAATACTTGGCACAAATGATAACAATAACGACACACAAACGCCTACCTCCAAGGCCAAGATCTCAATTGGAGGTCAAAGCTTAACATGGTTTGTTGTAGGGTATATTTTTGTCAGATCCATAACATTTTCATAGATCAATGGATTTTGAAATTACTTACCACAAATGTTTAAGGTCAAGGTCATACTTTAGGTGTTATAGGATATATTTTGTGCCCGATCCATAGCTTTTTTTATCAAGTAAGGGTTTTTGAAATTCTTGGCACAAAAGTTTACAAAGATCACCATGATGATAAGGCATTATGTCACGTGCAATACCCTGACCTCTACCTCAAATTTCAAGAACACATTTAGAAATCAAAGTCTAACGTCGTCTGTAACAGGGTTTGGTCTGCGTCAGGGTATATTTCGAGTCCGGCCCATGATGGTTTGAAGTTAAGTCAATTTTGCTGCAGACAACGCCAAAATAAACAAGTTGCTTTAATTAAGAAGAAATGTACAGGCTGCGTTAGAAATGTGCTTTCTATTGGGAACATCCATTCGAAAACTTGGACCCTGATTTAAGTGTGTACATAGGTTTTCTCGACATTCGTTCCCTTAAAGCCCACATCTCAGACTTGAATGCTCAAAGACATATTTTATGGTTGAATGGTTCTTTGGTTATCAAAACCTATCATTACAGACGAATGTGCTTGAGAGAAGAATTTTGCGGATACTTCATAATTCGATACCGCATGGTCTAGTTATGTTCACTAAAAGAGAGTCAACTGATTTTGAAAACAGCAGATCCCTCCAGTATATGTTTAGTTTCAGACCGAGATAGAAGCTCTCCCATAGCTGTACAGATACCTCAATTCAACAAAAATGTGTGTTTTACTTTGATGTTATGTTATCTAAGTCACATAATATTATACGTGTTGGATACTTTAACTTGATGCCTGATGATTAAGTTTTGTCATGATAATTAACTTCGAATATATGTAGAAAAGCCAAGTCATCACTTGTGAACAATCTAATTTATCCTTTTCTTTCTTTTGAATTAAAATTTTTTGAAGACATTTCATTTATAGGTTATGTGTTATATTTCAGGCTGGAAGGAATGTTCAGACAACATTAAATGTGCATCACAGTGTATGCAGAATTATATGCAAATGTATTTAGAGGAATATCGCTGTGAACTCACGTGCGAAGGGGTGTCACGTGATTATATCGGCGGTCCCAACGGATGTAACAACCCGAGAACAATGGATTTCTGGTATGCTGTGCAACAGGTCCCCGGGTGTAAAGGCGTCAAATAATTGACAATGAATTTATCAATGTATGAGCAAGAATTTATTGACTACAATATTTTATCCAACCGACTCTGACCTTGTTAATGGATTTTCCCTGCTTAAGGATTTCGATTTCACAATACAAGACATGATCTTCATATAAAATAGAATATTTGCCCACACTGATGACGACGATTTAATCAGCTTTGGGTCTAACCGTCTAGCAAACGAAATGTTAAAAAATACTCACTCGATTATAGGTTATCATTATAATCAAATCAGTAGCGGATAATTCTAGCGTTGAGGTATATTTATTTTTTAAGATGAACGTAATTGAATAATGTACTATAATGTTTGAAAGTTGACAAAATAAAAGTACTGTTAAGTAATTAAAAACCATTTTCATACACACTGTAATAAATTAATTTGGCTATACTATTAACGCGTGATCATGAATATAACAATCAGAACTAAAGACGAATTAACGACAAAGTTAAAACCTTACCGGATGATATAACTCCTCGCATCCGAACACCAAACAGTGATTTATGGAGCAATAAAATCATAATTTGGGATCAATTATTTAATAAATTCAAAACCCATTGATTAGGTCATCACTCCCGCCTCCCGTGCGTCGTTCCAAACTCCTTATTGCATGACCCACTTCATCAGTTGTAATTACATAATCTAATTCCACGAAAATAGTATCACCATCTGGTTATCGCAGTAATTCTCGCTTCCTGTATCTGATATAGTGGTAATGTTATTTGATAAGTTCTTAAATTAGTCATAAAACTCCTGCATAGGAATACTTTTGTCTTGGAAAAGTATATCCAAAAACCACATGACCTTTGACTGTAAACGGCTTCAGTTCCTGTGATCTTTATCAGTTTATGCCTATTGTGCTTATTTCCATTAAAGATTTATATTAGGCCTACCCCTTTTTTTTTAACATTAACTGGTGTTTATTTTCATTTGTCTTCACTTCATTAAATTATCGTAATGTTTCCTAATACTCTTACTTTTATTCTCTGCACGTGTCATCAAACCGATCTTTTTCATCACTTTTAAGGTATCAAATGGTATATTTTGTTTTCTATTCGGCTCTATCCATATGATTATGTGAAAGTGATTTCTAATTTTTGAAATTCATTTTCCTATAAAGTCTCTTTAAAACCAAAATAATACCACCACTATTTCGATGGCTTTTCTGTGCTGAAATTTGCAATGGAAATCGTGTTACTCAGATCCTTTGAATTTTATATTACTATGATTCTAGCAGAAAATAATGATATCTTAGTTAGATACAATTAATATATTACAGAAGTTTTTATTCTCTTATTTCCCTTTGGATAAGACATTTTAATTCAATACGGCAATTGAAACTACGACTTCTTCAATCTAATATATTTTTCTTTATGTTAAATTGTAAATTGCATAAAAAATCTGCATAACTCTTATAAGACATTGAAAGCATTTTACCCGTGCTTTCTCCCCTTGAATTACAAATTTGATAGATGCCATAACTGAAGTTGTCAGATGGCTGATTACTATTATTGGCGATATTTCATTTTTTTCCCCTGTAGTAACATACCTCGTCATGTTGAAAAAAATGTAGTTGGTCAAAGGTTAGAAGCAAAATGTCAGGAACGCGTACGTCAATTTATCCGTTGTTATCGTACCAAGGTCTACTATGGCAGGCCATTTGGGTGGATTTAGCTTTCGACATTTTAATAGTTTTCTTCAGAAAAAAATGACGTTTATAAAATGAGCCGCGTCATGACAATAACAACATAGTGGGTTTGCGACCAGCATGGATCCAGACCAGCCTGCGCATCGGCGCAGTCTGATCAGGATCCATACTGTTCGCTAACAAACCCTATAACAAGTAGAGAAACTGATTGCGAACAGCATGGATCCTGATCAGACTGAGCGGATGCGCAGGCTGGTCTGGATCCCTACTGGTCGCAAACTCATTATTTTGGTTTTGTCGTGACGCGGCTCAAATAACATAATATCGTAAATTTTTTACATGTTTTACTTTTCTAAAGACATGTGTATCACCATATTTATAAGCACTTGTCTTTGAAAGAGAGCATACCTAATTTAGATTCCGGGAAAGATTATATGACAGAAAGTTATAATTTGTTTATAAAACTGATGTCTATCAAAACAAAAAATAAAGATGATTTTATGGTGTACATTATTACGCAAAATGTATACGGGTGACATTCGTTCAAACGTAAACACTATTTCAACCGTATGTGTACACTGATCTTTTTCACCGCTGCTGTGAATTAAGATATGTATTTATTTACACTGTATATATAAGAAAATGTCTGCAGAATGTCTGCATCAGATTTAATGATAGACACAATTTCCCACGGTTATGTTTGTTAAAATTTATAACTGAATAATAATGTCAAAATGCACTACTGTTACTGTAATTAGTGCAAATTTCGCGTACTTTTATTTACAAACGTGCAAGATAATATAAACGCAACTAAAACATACATGTACGTTACCGTTATGAATAAACTAAAGTATTACGTAAAGGCAAAATAACATTTCTGTCAATACCATACTTATTCCGCTAACTGAGGTCTTGATTGATAGATAGATAGAGTCTGCCTTAGTCCTGATAACAACTTCAACGTATACATAAAATAAAGAAGTTCTTGTTGGTATAAATGTATTCATATCTCAATAAAAGCATTATGTCTCAAACGAATAATTTTGTTCTTCTTTAGAAAAAAACAAGATGAGTCATATAATGTTTGAATAATGGTTTTAGAGCATGTTAGATGCGTTTTACCTGAAGAAAGTAGCGCTGAATGTGAAATTATTGTCATGAAAAAGCAAAGTAGCATTTTGACTTTCATACAAAATACGTTTTCCCAGAAAATTTCAGTCTTTAATCGATGCAAGGCTGTTTAATACACGAGTGGCGGCGTGACCGAGTGGTTAACACGTCGGACTAGTAATCTAACGATTGCTGACCGCGTGGGTTCAAGCCCTGTCAGAGGCAAGCCGTTGTTTCCTTGAGCAAGAAACTTTACATTCATTGCTTAGTACTGGTTGGTTCCAGGAACGGATTTGAGGGTGTTTCAATAAGCTTACAGCTTTCAACACGAACTAAAATAAATTTGTATAAACTAACTAAATCCTAGTTTTCACATGATATTAATAAGAATGATTGCTGAGCACTGTATTCATTCTAAGCCTTCTGAATTGCATTTGTTACGACGCATATAGCTCTCGACGGACGCAGCTCTCCATTGCGCCGAAACAAATATAGCTTTTCAATAGCTGTATTGGTGATGATGCACTGATGATGTTTATGATGATAATTATGACTATATGATCGTGTAATGATTATGATAATGATGTTGTACTGATAATGACGATGATGATGTGCTGATGATTAAGATGATGATCTTGGTGATAATGATGATAATAATGTACATAGTAAAAGTAATCTATATATGAAAATGACAAACATATATGTCTAACATATTACTTGCAAGCTTATTTTTGAGGAGCTTTATCTCATTTGCCATTCTAAAATAAAATGTTAAAGATATGAAATTTCAAATGAAATTTTAAGGATATTTCTAAAAGAAAATGTCAAGGATAGTTCTTGCAATTATAGCATATATAGTTCTAAAATAAAATGTACAGTTATTTCTTTAACTTTCTAGTTAAATTGCACAGATATCTAAATTCTGTTTAACAATACTTCCTCCCACAAAACATTTTACGCTGCGTCTAGTTATTATTGCATTTTCTAGTAAACAGTTCATTTTACACAAGAACTTACTGAGTTATAAATTTTATCCAAAATAACGAGACCACCTATAACGTTCACGATCCTGTAAGTTTACTCAAGCACATGAAAATATCGAAAAACACACCCAAATCTGGACTTTGTCTAATATATATTATATGACCATTAATGTATTCAGTTGATAAAATGTTTATAATTTTCATATATTTTTGCATATTGATCAAGTTTATTTACAAATAATAGTAGTCTACCGACGGCGTAGATTATGGGGTTAGAAATTGAGCATGACAGATTCATCACGGAACAGATACATCTTACATTGTCCGATTTTTCAAGATTAATAACCCTACAAGAAACTATTATGTCATTATTACGCAAGCATTGGTAACCTTTCTATGTGTATAGCTAGAATGCTTAGAGCTTATTAACATATGCAAGTTAAAACTAGTTTTTCTCCGGCTGAGTATCTTTTATTAAAGATGCTCTTTGTTAGGAATTATATTTGTTGTAATTGTATTAAGGTGTCATGGGATTATTTGTTGAGAGCTATATGCTGTTACAATGCTTGTTGGCTAATAACTTACATAAATGCATTTATTATTATTATTATTATTATTATTATTATTATTATTATTATTATTATTATATAAAAAAAGAAACATAAATAAAGCCCTGTATAGCTGACAGTTATCTGAGATTATATGTATAAATGTCCGAGTTGCCAGCCCTTACAAAGGTGACCAGTCAGTATTGCTATTTAAACTGCTGGCACGTTTGACATTCAGGGGTTAATCATAACTGTACTGTAAATCCACAGAGGGGGTCTTGCCCTAGACTTAAAATCTTCACTGTCTACACTGACAAATAATAAGATATTGAATGCATTATCATGACTCTTGATTGTATAATTTAAACATGCAAATTGTGTGACGAAATAAAACCTCATGACAAGTACTACAGATTTTTTAACCGCCAACTCACTGATACTAAACCGCCATTACTGCCGCCATTACTGCCGCCATTACTGCTGGAATATTGGCGGAGCGGGGTTAAACCTCTGGTATATATGTTACATTAGTTACATTATTATGTAACGTAATTTCCGGTTGTTTTATTTTTATTATTTATCAATATAATGATTTTTATATACATTATTTAAAAATGTTTATGATCTCGTCACTATTATTATTATATGGAATGATGATTTTGTAATTTAAGTATCTTCATATATTAATTTGTCTTTTGTTAGATCTTTCAAGCGGATATAGTTTTAATGTTGCACGAGAGAATTTGTTGGTGAACACTTAAAACATGTTTTTGTGAACTCAACTGAAATGAACAGTTCATTTATTGTTCATGATTATATCATATTTCATTCATGCGTGCAAAACTTCATGGTGTATGTGTTAACATATTGGTTTTTAAATTTGTTTTGTGGCGATAGTTTTATACAAATACATAGAAGAAAGGAATTACTTTAAATTCGATTTAATCAAGTAAATTCAATTATTTAATTATTGAACGTTTTAGTCCTTAAATGATTTAAGAAAAATCATTTGATAACTTACTACTTATATTTGTGTATGAAAACGTCTTTAAAATAATGGAAAATGCAGACGTTACTTGCTGAATTCTGATTAGTTATAGTTATTTTTCTCTATTACAGTTGAAAAGTTTAAACGAACTTAAATGTAAATAGCATGAATACATATTTCCGCTTTTTTCTAGTGTACAAATTATCCTCAAAGATTTCATAAAAGATATTTTTGTATAGATACGACGGTTTCTTAAGCAGGAGCAGGTGTATAACAAAACAACTTTATAACTTCCTTCTTAAACTCGCTAGCTTTTTAACAGTGTAAGTGTAAAAATGTACGGACTGCATCTAACAATAGAATGAAATGATTTTATCTAAAATCATGGCTACCAGTACTGTAAACAACATTAATTACATTGATTTAAGTGATAAAACCGAGACATACAAAGTGCAATTATTACACAGTGCAGTGGAATCAGGCTCCATGGAGATTTTGGAATTGTTACTGTTACATGGATGCGGAATTAACCAATCAGATTTTAAGGGAGTTACACCATTGATGAACGCTGTGAAAAATGACAATGAAACAGTTGTGAGATATCTTTGTAATAATCATGCAGACTTTAATCAACCGTCGAAAAATGGCGAGACTCCACTTTATATAGCCTGTGAACGAATGAATAGTAAAATTGTTGAAATACTTTTGGACGCAGGAAGTGACGTCAATGCCACTACTAACAGCCTTCACGCGCAAACTGGAAGTTCGCCTTTAATGGCTGCTCTTCCGTCATCATATGAAATACATGTGAAGAAGAAGAAAAAAACAGAATCTTTGTACATAATAAAGCTCTTATTATCGCATGCTTGTAACATAAATGCACAGAACTGGGCCGGAAACACGGCACTTCATATCGCTGCAGATCGTAGTGACCTTCAGACTATAAGTTTGTTGTCTGAAAACGGTGCTAATCTTCATATACGTAATAACTTTGGCCTGACGGCATTTGAAGAGGCTATACAACCAAACATACAGCGTTATGATGTAGCAACAGTTCTTCTACTGTACGGATATGACTTTCATATAATCAAACCAAAAATACATCCGGTGATATCTATTCTAAAGGGATTTAGTACTGATAAATCAGGGTGTTTTTCGACTTCTAAATTCACGAGAAAAACTTTGTTAGAGCTTCTTTTGCATGTTGTATGTTTAAATGCTGAATTAGAGCAAGAGGTATGTAGATTTTTAGAATACTGCAAGGACATTGAACCACGTGACAAGTATTATTTCGAGCAATTTCTTGCCATGAAAAATCCGAGCCGTCTTCAGGAAATATGTAGATTTGTTATCAGAAGAGCAATATTCACAAATCTTCTTCGAGGAATAAATCGCCTTCCAATCGCCAAAGGTTTAAAACAATTTTTAGCTTTTAATTTTGATGTGGATAGGAATGACCCAATGAAATGTTTCCAATTAACTACTGCTATATTGGAAAATGATGAAGATCAGGTAAAACAACTGATTGCTGATGGTATAGACTTAAACTTTTCACTGTCTCATCATACACCACTCACAGAAGCAGCATTATTGGGGCACTCCGTATTCTGTACCTTGCTTCTAGAAAATGGCGCGGAAGTCGACTTGTATGACAATACTGGTATGACAGCTTTACATATAGCATCGTCCAATGGACATCAGTGTGTAGTAGAAATCCTGCTTCAGTATGGTGCTTGTATCAATAAAATTTGCAAATTTGAAGCAGAAAACTCTGTGACAAAGGCAGCAGCCAATGGACATTTTAAAACAATGATTTATCTGGTAGAAAATGGCGGGAATCCTAATGTACGAACAAGTGATGGAAGGTATGTAATTCATTTAGCGGCAGCCAGTGGAAGTGCTGAAGCAATTAAGATTTTAGTAGCGCGTGGTATAGCACCTGAATCACGTGATTGTGATCTGAATACACCATTGCATCTAGCAGCGTCAAGTGGTCTGCTGTATAAAAATGATGAAATTAACTTTCAGGACAATTTAATAGATGCCAATTTTCATGAAAGTATCCGATTACTGCTGAGTGCTGGAGCAAACAGATTTGCTACAAATCATTCCAACAAAACTCCGGCTGAAGTCGCGGCCATATACTCAGATAATAGCATAGCTGTGTTATTAAAATAAAATATGTGATATGTAACCATAAGTGGTCGTTTCAGCATTAAATGTACTACATTTTTATTATTATCATTTAATCATGTTATGTACTCCATACCATCATTGGGCAATCATGCATACAATTATGCCCATAGTCAAACTTGGAAACTTTAAAGTTCGCGCACAACAAGTCTCAGTTTTCGAATATGCTTTCTACAAACCATAAAATGTTTTTGTTTTCTTTAATCCTTACAATCAGCATAGAGAAACTTTGGAATATAAACGTAGAATTGCTACTTTATACCTGTTAAAACAGGAAACATCAGATGTAAACCGTTAATGTGTTTCAAAAGATAACAAAGTTGACTTGTTGTCAATTTAACTGTATATTTTTATTTAAACAAAACATATATTTTTTATTGAAAGATTCGAATAAAAGTAAATTTTCACATTGATTGTTATCTAAACTAACCGATGCTTATATTTTGTCATTCACTTTAACTATTACACATTAAAAATTAACATTTTCCCATCGTTTTATACAAAAATGATAAGGTTGAGAGATTCCTATTGGAAATACAAGGTAATAAAACCACGGACCGTATCCACTTGTACTAATATAATGAGTTGTACATTGTAAATATTGAATATACCGGTATCAAATCATTATAGTGAAAAATATTCTTCATAATTTTTACTGTAAGGTTGAAATTTAAAATGAAATATGTTAGACAGTCCATGCAAAATAAACCAGTCTACTCAAAATAATATTTATCAATTTTAGGTTTTGTAAGAGAAAATGCATAAGGACAGTTATGTATAGCGTCTGTCTGTGTAACAGGTATTATAAATGAATGATGTGATGTTATTTTTTATTACAACTCACTCTTTTTGTAATGTTAATTTACCAAAGGTCAGTTGATGAAAGTTATTCTAAATGTTAATTCAAGTGAACCATGTGACAAAAAAATTTTTGTTGTTACATAGTATCAGTAACAGTACGTTTTCACAGCAAAAACCTGAAAAATAAAAGCCTATAGAAACAGTGTCACAATGAAGAATGTGTGTGGGGTAAAAAAATACATGTAACAGATTATCATCCCTCGTAAAAATACTGTTAACCTCGACTAACGCCTCAGGTAACAGTATTTTCCTAAGTATGATATTTTTACTGTTACTCACAAACTTGTGTGTCATAAAAGTATAGTAGTATCTACCCAAGTAGGATTAAAAAAGGACATTGATCTATGTTTTCTACTATTCTTTGTCGTTTATACAATCTGATAAAAGTATTCTTTTTGGACTAAATACGTCGTAGCAATAAATATATCTAACATTCTCATATCATGAAAATATTTCTGTTTCTGATGGTAAGAAAAGTACTGTAGTGTGTCAAAACACTTACTTATTGTCTTTTCTTTAGCTCGGTTAAGAGAAATCAACCAAATTCATGTACATGTTGTCCGATTTGGATCTATTAGTCGTGTGAACGTTACCGAAAATATCAAGAACATTCGCCTAAAGATCTTCCCTGATTTAGATAGTGGCTCAATATACCATTATAATAAGAGAAAAGTATATAAATCAAATAACTATGGTGTTGTTTTATCCATATCCGGTATGACGTCATGGTTGCGTTGATCTGGGTCATTATTATCTTCATTTTCAGATTTCTTTTTGGTGTTATCAATGTTTGAGTTTGAAATGGCACTACCTAGACCGAGATTTTTATCTTCACTGTCAATATTTCCCTGCACGGTATATAAGTTAAATGGCCTATTAATTGCGCTGTCACGTGGCACAAGGGTTTCTGTTTTAATGTCCGCAGTATTTTTCTGTACAGAATATGTACCGTAAGGTTTCCGAGCTAGCGGGTCTATTTTCTGGATGAGACAAATATTAGCTGGAGGATTGGACCAATGTTGTTGCTCCCCTGTAAAACATAAGTATAATATTAATTATAGAGAAATAGAGGCCGTTGCTGATGAGGATGATTATAATAATGATGATGATGAAGAGGCTGATAATGCTGATGATGATGATAATGGCAATGATGACGACGACAGACATACCGATGATGTCGAGGGAGACAATGATTATGATAGTAAAGATGATTACGTTGAGAAAGAGGTCGATGATGACGATGTTGATGAACATCAGAGGTCATTGTATCAACAGTTACTGTATTAAAGGTCTGCAAATTAACCAAAATTATGTTACATTGATCTGAATACATAAAACGAACAGAAATGCATTGGCATTTATACTCTAAATTTCTAGAGTAGGTATTTTCCGGACATTCTGTTTTACGAAACAAGAATTTCTCCGCAATCAAAAGAAAACCTGCACCCTATTCACTAGCTGTTTGCTTCTTAAATGTATATATACATGTATTACTTTCTCACCAGATAACCAATTAGATATAAAATGTTTAATAAATATCAATAAATGGCTATTCACCTGAACCAAATATTAGATAAAACACAACTGTAGCGGCTATCAACGATGATGTCAAATAAAACACGCTGTCCCAACTTTCAACCGTCTGAAATAAATGCAAAAAAAGGTCTTAAAAGCTAAAATACGCTTGTATCATAGTTTTGAGACCTTTCTGTTGAAAAAGTGTCAGAGTTAAATCGTATACATATACATGCACAGTGCGGTAACTGGAGTGCAGGTATTAGTTACCCGCACTCCAGAGCATGCTCATTGATTGGTTCATTTTTGCTGGGGTTTACGTATTGTGGCGGCAGGGAGAGTGAAAGCGGCAGAAATATCATATTAAGATGCTCGTTCATTGGTTACTTTTTCTGGGGTTTCATATTGTGACAACAAGGAACGTGTTTTTATGTTTGACTATGATACAAAAGAGAAACAACATCAAAACACTCGGCAATCTGATTTATACTCGGGGGTTACGCCCCCTCGTACAAATCAGATAGCCTCGTGTTTCGATGCTCTTTCTATTACTTAAATGAAATGACATTGTTTAATTGACAGATTAAGTAAACAGCATTATCATATCCCGAAATGAACGTTTTGTTGTAACTTTACATTTATTACAATAGCTCGGAGTAGACAAAAGATGCTAAGGTTTCCGTAGATTTTTCAACAAACTAATGATGTTTTAAACTTCACATGTATATAAAAATGAGGGCAATTTGCATTTACATACATTTTCTTTCATGAATATGCATATTCACTAGAATTTGTGATAAAACACATTTTAGAAAAGATCGTGAACTTGCACTAACTTGCGACTAAAAGCGCTAGTTAGCATTTTTACAGTTATATTTGACGTAATCCCACCTAATAATGAAATCTACCAATTTCCAAAAGTTTACATTGCAGTTAAGTTTGATTGAAATTGTTTATGGAAAAGTTTGCCTCAAATTATCTACAACATCAAAATGTCGGTTTAAAGAAATCGATTATGATCACCTGTTGCATAGTAAGGTCTCCTGTTGCCAAGGGCACAATGATAGCTCCTAGAGATCCCACTGCTGACGTCACAGCAACAAGACTACTGGCATAACGTGTTGATAGATCATAGTGATTTACCGACCATCCTGTTAAAATAGATAATTCCTATAATGCATGAAATCCAGATGTCGCCATTTCCTGCCAATAATTAATACTGCTTATATGATAGATCACTGTATCGATGATGGAACGAAACACATTGATCTAATGAGGTAACATTCCGTGCTGGATTTCATATTCACATCACTTTTTCAAAAATTTTCTGTCGAAGAACAGTCTATATAGTTTAAAATAGTGTAAAATGTCAGTAGGAAACGGACGCTCGAGTCACCTAAGGCAATTAGATAACTACAGCTATAGGCAATCGGCTATGGCAAGATATTGCTGATGAAAATGGATGCAAGTTGAGGAATCGAGTCTCTAGAGAACATTAACCTTCGCGGCGATACTTGTTGTAACTGACTTCACAATTTAAAACATTTTGGTCGCATGTGATTTTCTACACAAACTTTAAGTTCTAAATGTAAGTTAAAACGATCTATAGATTTTGCGGTAACATATAATATGAATATGGTTAATGTAAGGGAGATAATAAAGATGTCTCCTTTTATCTTTGAATGTTTCATCTATACTCGAAATGTTTTCCACCCGAGTGAGCTAGAATGTTCGACCTGATTCAATTGTGTATCACTGTAAATATAACTTTTACCTTTTCCACGGGTAAAGTCAATGTATAAAACTTGCGTGTTTTTATTAACTATAAATATCGATGTTATCACTTCGATCTTCCACACACGCAAATAAAAGATTATATTAAATGTTGTCATCTGATTTGTCAATAGATAAAATCCTAAAATATTTCAATTTGAACTTTATATTTTCATTTTGGTCTAACTGAAAATAAAACATCACCAGCAGTATTTAGTAATATACATTTACAAAACAAAATTATCTCTTTTAAACTTGCACACATTGTGTTTTATAATATCCCTATACTATATATGTATATATGAGGTATGAATGATTCATTAAAATAGGGAGAGAAAAGAGAATCTAACTAATTATTCACCGATAGCACTCCATTCGTTCATTCCTTCCCAATCCGTTATTTATCCATTAGAATAGGACTGCAACAAACGTGTGTATTATTTTCTTTTTAATCAAAGAAAGTAACTGTGCAGTTAAATAATTGTTTTTTAAGATTTTTTATCATCCATATTGCAATGTTATTATCTTGCCCAACAGCTCGGATCCGCTTACATTAGTTATACAAGGTGCTAACAGGATATACGGGATAATGCAGCCTGAATTAAATAAATATGACCCGAGGTGCTGTATAACAAATTTATTATATTCAAAGAAGCAAATGGGAAAACGGATTCGCTAACGCCGTGCAGTGAAAAGTAATTCAAGCTGCGTTGTAGCTTTTAACCTTTTTTTCTTTGTCTTAAGTAATAAATTTGAATCGGAAAATATACTATAAAGAACAAAACTTGATAAAGAAATGCATGCCTCTGTAATGTTATTCATTGTTTTTCTGTGTACTTCGGTTCTTCGCGATTTATACGGCTTATTATAAAAAAAATTAATAGCTTCGAGACCATCTCTATTTGCACAATCTATGATAAAATAGTTCAAAGAGAGAGATGAACACTAACCTGATGTTGTAAGACCAAATGCTCCTATAGTTATAGTAAGAACAATGATAACCACTGAACCACTGCGCACAAATGTTAAAACAATAAAACCAACTGCTTGAATTCCAAGACCTATAATGATAATAATAATAATCAAGCACCTTGCTTAAACATCTAAACATCCGAACTAATTATTTAGAAACTCCTCAAATGAAGAAATGTCCCTTGTTGTGATAAGGGACAAGCGGTGCGACGGAGATGACCTGCATAACTTTGCCTTGAAGGTTCCACAGTATTTATATCTATTACTGTAACTCTTAACAATTCATAAGCATAAAAAGTACACATCACATTTTCAGCCAAGGAAAATTATAAAATGTCAAAATGTGTAATTATCCATGGTATTGACAATTGTAGTGTTGTGTTGTCCATGGTGTTCTTTTTTAATTTATGATATCATAATAAAAATGACAGATATTTTCTATGTCAATCATGTAATAACATAACATATTATATAATTGTGTATATACCTATCCCAGTGAGGAGTTTTCTAACAGCACCAGTTGACAACCATTTATAATTGAGAAGACTATCGGCGATATAACCACTAGCAAACGATATAACAACCTTGGCAATATGTGGAAATGCTGCATACAGACCTGTCTACAGATATCAAATATAAAATTGGTAAGCATTTGTCGAAAAGGGAACATAAAAAATGATTATTTTTAGAAACACTACAATGACAGCATTTTAAATGAATATAAGAAACAGGCTTAATGCATTTATTAACTCAAGAACATAGCGTTTTACGAGTATTTTAAATGCAGTATGGAAATAGAAGGACATGTATTTTGTTAACAATGAGCAACTCTGTTTTCAATATACATTGTACTGCATTCCATTAGGAAACAATCTTACATTTAAAGTACTCAATATTTAATGTATGTTTCGGGGAAATTTCTTATAATGTAATCAAATGAAATCAAAACTTTTTTATCACTTAATGTTGCTAATATAAAGATAAAATATACAACAGTACAAAAAAGCAATACCACATTCGTTTGATACAGATATGCTTTGGTTAGATATAAGGCTAGAATGTGTCATTGTTGTTTTAATTAACCAAACATCTGTTCCTTGCTTCATGAATCAGAAACATCTATTATAATATGAATCAAAATTCCACTAATGATTCATGCATCATTATGATATTGTTCCGGTATGCTGTATATATGTAACTAATACATATACTTTATCACAATTTCAGGTCAATATTAATACAGTACAGCTATATTCAAACAGACTAGAATTCATAAACATTGTATATGGGATTTATTGAACATCCTTTTAAAAGTGAATTAAACAATGTTCTTAAGTTTATTTCGTCAAGAATACTGCTTAAGAACACATTTGTAATGATTTTAAAATTGTTAATGTCAATGTTAACATTTTATGATATTAAAAATACAAAACAGACGCCTGATAACGAATACAAAAATTCCTTATAAATATCATCCGGGACCTTTTATCCATGTTTCTATGCAAATATTTGCAGTAAAATGTACATAAAGCTAATCGATATAACAGCAAAGTGAAACTTGTGCAAATAATATAAAGTCCTATTAGACAGCCGGCGCGGTTACTGGATATTGCTGACCGACCAAGACCAGATCCATAGTTTGCACTGTTCGTTATTCAGCCAGCAATTATTTTGAAAATTTCTCTAATTATGATGCCTGATCATATGGTGGACAAGTCCGTTTATGATATTTATTGTAGTAAGGATTAAAACGTTAAAAAAGATCGGTTTCTTGGGTCAACGACAATCAAAGGTTCGAAATAAGGCACATCATACAAAAAAATCATAGAAAGTACAATAATGTTATGAACTTAAGTTCGTTTAACGTGTATTATCACTGACAAAATATATATCTTGAACATGAGTTTGAATAGCTATTTTTTTTAAAGTATTTTCATCAAATATATTGAAATCTGTTCCTACCTCAGCTATGGTGAATCCAAACTCGTTCAGATAAAGTGGTTCGTTTGTTAACATTAGAACAAAGATCCAGTACCTTAGAAAATGACACACACATATTGCAATCACTGGTAACGAAGTTATTATACTTTTCCATGGCACGTGCACATTCTAAAATATGAATAATGTGACAGTGACAAATATATGTGAACATCAACAATATATGATAATGTGAACAGAAACAATATAATTTTTATGTGAACATCTACGATATTTGAGAACATCAGCAATATTTGAGAACATTAACAATATGTGTGAACATTAACAATACATGTGAACATCAACAAAATGTGTTGAGCATACATTTTTAATTTCGTAAAACACATGATAACAGAATATCTTGAAATCAATATGAACAGCACATCTTTATAATTTTAGTATGCAATTGTTTCATCAAAATAACACAGAAAAGCATTATACAAACAAGTTGTTTCGAAACGCTTTTACTACTGTTTATATATGAACCTCAAAAGCATATAATTTTTGTTAATGACCCAGTTACTTGTAATCTCCAACCTCTAACCCTAAATATTAAGGAAAATAAGAATTGAAAGCCCTAATCACTGTACCTGTACTATGGATTTAACTAAATCCTCATAGTAGTGAAATAATGAAATGGAATGTCAACGAGGACAGTTGAACCTAAAGAGCGGGAACAGTTGATCCTAGGAGCAAGGACAGTTGATCCTACAGAGCGAGGACAGTTGATCCTACAAAGAAAGGGCTGTTAATCCTACAGAGCAAGGACAGTTGATCCAAAAGAGCGAGGACAGTTGATCCTACAAAGAAAGGGCTGTTAATCATACAGAGCAAGGACAGTTGATCCAAAAGAGCGAGGACAGTTGATCCAAAAGAGCAGGAACAGTTAACTATAAAGAGCGAGGACAGTTGATCTTATAGAAGGAGGACAGTTGATCCCAAAGAAGAGTGTCAATTGATCCAGTTTATCCTACAAAGCCAGGAAAAATGACTCTGCAGAGCCTTACAGAATAAGGCCTGTTGATCCTACAAAGCGAGGACAGTAGATTCTAAAGAGCAAGTACAGTTGATCCAAGGAGCGGGCAGTTGATTCTATGGAGCGAGGACAGTTGATCCTACGGAGCCGGAGCGAGAACAGTTGACCCTACAGAGCAAGGAAAGTTGATCTTACAGAGTAAGGGCTATTAATCCTACAAAGCGAGGACAGTTGATCCTAAAGAGCGGGAACAGTTGATCTACATCTTGACCTATATTTTGGAAGAACCGGAAATACCGCTTTATCGAATATGTAATTAGAATATAGTCTACCTCATAATCAATCACGTCAGCACCCTGGGATTTTTCCATGAATTCAAACTCATTTTCACTGATGTATTTATGATGGGACGGCTTTTCATATATCAGAAACAACCAAAACAGGTACCATATTATACACACCGTTCCTGAAAAATATACATCATAAATTAAAATGTAAGTAAAAACAAGTATGACTCGTTAATATACTGTACGTACACAAAGCCATGCTACATTGACATGGAGACTTGAACATATAAATAACACGAACAGTTTACTTATTTTTATACATTGCCTCCAAATAATCATTCGGAAAAATCAGTGAAATCTGATAAATCAATATACATTTCATAATTTTCTTTAAGAAGTTAGCTTGTTTTAACAAAATTATTAAAACTGTCTGATCATACATTTTTCATGGAAATACTCTATATCCACGTATACTTACCGGAAGTATAAAATATATACTGCCATCCTAGATAATGTGTTATTATTCCGGCGAGAGGAAAGCCAACTATTGCTCCAGCATATGCACCTACAAAAGGCAAAGTTACTCTCATTAATTTTTTTTTACAAATTAATTCTACAAGTAAATTTAAACATAGAATATTACCATTGAGGATACGAGTAAACATAACTTATGCGTCAGATAGTGTCTTTAACATTGGAAACATTTAACCTAAATAAAATGCGTTGATCTATATCGGTTTGACGATATTCAGTTTTATGTATTTATACGTCGGCCTGGCGTCAGCATATTTGAACGTGAATAATGGCATAAGTATGCCCAACACAACTAAATTGCTTGAATCAGCCACACTTAATATTCTATAAAGTATTGATGACACCTACAATTTATATGACATATTCCCGATATGAGCATAAATATCACCGTCATTAGAGTGCAATAACAAATCAATAACGAAAATAAACAGGATAACATGTGAGCAATTAAGTTTAAATATTGATATAAAATATCACCTTACATGACAAGACAGCAGATACTTGACGACTTCGTTCACTGGGTGCCGTCCAATGTCGGAGAATACCGTAACATGCCGGATATAGTAAACCCTATAATTAAACAATGTGTTAACAAATTGTAGCATTTTCATAATTTATGTAATTGGGAAACATTGTAAATGTTTGTATTGCTATGAAATGCGTCAGTCATAAAACGATCACTCCAAAAAAAGCTTGGACATCAATTATTAAACATTTGGTGTAACAAAATATATATTCAAGAAGGTTATTATAATATATCATGACGTCAAGAATAGAGCGCTTTATATAACAAAAGACTTGTGCGCATGACTGAATTCTTTATCGTGTTGGTGGTAGTTTTCAGGTGGCCACTCCGTCCTGGAAGATATGCCATCTTCCCCCAACAGTAAAGCTGGAAAGTAGCCATATGACCATTTAGTGTCCGAAACAAAAACAAAACCAACAACAATCTAGTAATCTCCCTTATCGTTATGAACAGTAGCCTACAGAGATCATTAGGACTATAAAATGTATCATGAAAATGAAATACAATAGTCTGTTAAAGAAATACTATGCTCAAAATTGATATTTGAAAATATTGATGATTGCCAACCAAAGTAGGCGGACACAATATGTATATACAGTAAACTCCGCTTATAACGTACTCATTGGGACATTCAAAATCTGTTCCTTATATCCGGAGTTCCTTGTAAGCATATACCGAATTAGTTCCTAGTATCAGAAGTTTTTATAGCGAACAGTTTTACATATAACGAACTAATTGTTAACCATCGTCTTCCATTTAGAAGAGCATTTGATTAAGAGAAATAACCCTTGGGTTCGTCATTGTTGTCTCCCTTATATTGATTCAATAAAGAAAAAAGGACTAAGTGCAATGTTGTTTCTTTTAAATATAATTTTCATGTATAAATATATCTTTAAGATAATTATGATATGTACCATATATGCAATATTGTAATTTATTAACGATACAGTGTCATGTACAAAATAATCACTTTGCTTTGAAGAAGTCGTTAATTTTAGTTTGGGAACTCTTCAGGTTAAATTCAATATTCAATAAACTTTTAAAAACTGTTTCATCCACATGTGCATTAGACTCGAAGTATGACTTAATCTTGTGCAAACAATTAACAGCTTCATTTTTTGACACAACCGACAGATCATCTAAATACACTATTTGTTCCTAATATATCCGCTTCATTCCGCCAAGTTCTGTGCCGATGAAAACGAAAGTAGAAAATGCGCGATCTGTTTACGGATAATCGATATTTTGGAGTTCGTTATAAAAGTGTAATTTTCTGTACTTTTTATGGCAATGGGACTAAAGAATGAGTTCCTTATAAGCGATAATTCCTTATAACCGTGTTCGCTGTAACCGTATTTTTTTACATTAAATAAAGAAGGGCGAAATTCGGGCCAAAAATATTTGTTCCTTATAACCGGAAGTTCGCTATAACCGTGTACGCTATATGTGAAGTTTACTGTATAGTGTCATTTAAGAATTGTCAGTTTTGTTTTTTTAAAAAATGGCCAACTTGACTTCACACATATTATAATAGAAGTGCAGCTTCCTAAAGATAGTTTGGATAATCTTTTATCCAAATTAGACATATTCAGTAAGAATTTCATAGATTTCAATAAATTCCTGTAATAAAAACATTTTACTCAAAAACGATACTCAAAGTATACCATTAAATAGGATAACTATAAATTTCAGTTTCAAAAATCACCAAGGACACTAATTTTTAATGATAATCAAAAATCACCAAGGACACTAATTTTTAATGATAATAATATATGTACCTCTGCAAGTCCCTGGACACATCTTACACAACAAACGAGAGAAAACTGCCCATTATCTATACATATAGGTAGCAAAATGTTCAATAATGCCGAGGTGAATATACAGCCACCATATAACCTGAAAAATATCACTTTAACACATATCATATAATGTGAACAACAAGATTTACTTAAAATTGTTGTTGAGGTGGCTGATTTGTGCCATTCGTGTTTTCGCCCTGAAAAGCGAAAAGTCGAAAATTAACAAGTTAAAATGGCGGGGGCGTGGAGCGAAAACACGCTAATTAGCGAGGGCGCGGGGCGAAGTTTAATAAATAAAACTTCGCCGCGCACCCCGCTATCCAGCGACCCCGCCAAGTTAACAAGTTAAAGGAAATGCCATCTATCCTCTCTATCCTCCCGCATTTAACACGAATGACACAAATCAGCCACCATATAATTCTGCGGCTTGTGTCTCTGCTGCCTACGTAACAAGTTATTATATCATTGTAATTATAGTATGTTTATCCAATTTGTAATTTGGTAGTAAATTGCAGCATAGAATATACGACTGACGGCTTAAAGATAACCTCAAAACGAATATTCAGCATTTTTTAATTCACTACAAAAATGATAAAATTATAATCTACTTATTTTAAAACCAGTTACCAGTTTTTATATAACGTTTTTATATATAGTCTGTAGATCGGTATAATCATAAATATTGAGGTATGTTTTAGTTTTAAATTAAAGGAACTCCACTGAGGTCCTAATGCCTGAAAACATTAAATTTTTAAAATCTTACAAATACCACGTGAAGCGAGGCTACCGAGGATATCAGCGAAATATACTCAATTAGAAATCAATTTACCATGCGACTCAAAAAGATTGTTCTGGACAGAATGAGCTGAAATTTGCACAAAATTATTGGTCGAGACCTACATCTTTTTGTGCATAAATCTAGGAAATATACTTCAAGTCCAGGCATGGGAATAAACCTCGGTGGAGTCTCTTTAAATGGTAGATTTAAATTAGACTTACTTATGTGTCGGTAATATTGTTGTTAGGAATGCGCCAGGAATTTGAGAGATCAGGAATCCCATATAGAAAATACTGTGTAGAAAACCAACCATCCGGCTGTCCCAGTTTACCCGAGGAATCTGACGACGGAAAAAAATATTTCATTTTTTGTAATAACACACAAAAGGAGTTTCTTTGTTTCGTTTGTTTGTTTGTTTGTTTGTTTGTTTGTTTGTTGGCCTTTGACTTTTTATGTTTTTTCCGTTACTTTTTTTTCCTGTCGTTATTATTTTTTTCGATTGTTGTTGTGGTGGTCTCTTTTTTGCTAATTTGTTTGTTTTTTTTTTTTTTTTTTTTTTTTTTTATCTTTTGTTGTTTTTATCCTCTTATGGTTTTATCAATAAATTTATGAAAATATAAAAAACAGTATCATGAATGAAACAGGTAATGTATAGTCAGCACATGAAGTACAGATAAATGTAACAGATTTATATGACAAGCTGAAACACTGACATTGATTACATAATCCTTTATACAATGTCAACGACTTATACTTGATGTCAATTTATTTTATACAATGTATTATACATTATTTTAAGTAAAAATGTTAAAATATTCCAGAGGTAAACATTTGAATATACAATAGGACACGTTACAATAATTGCATTAAGGAATGGGTTTTTTCAGCAAGCAATGAGGACGCGTATAACATAGATAGTTATGATTAAGATCCAGGGAAATTGGCTGCTAACATAGAGAGAAAATGGTAAAGAAAAATTTAATCAAAGATAAGATTTTGTTTATATGCAAATAATATGAAAAAGAAAAAGATGCAGACAATTTTATAGATCAAATTTTGTTGATTAATAGTAGATAATGTGGAATTATTGTATAGAAATAGCTTACATTTATTACGGCATCAATTGTTCCAACTTTTTCATACGCTCTCTCGTCTAGAATCATAACAACCATCACCCCCACATTCGTCCGCATCGCGTACACTAGTAACAGGCCCAGCCCTAACATAAACGTCACTATCAATCGTTTTGGAATATAAAACAGACTGGAACCCTGATTTCTTTCATTTGCAGAACGGTTCTCTGAATTTTGTTGATTTTTACCATTATCATTGTCCGAAATCTTCTCGTCACTCTTTCCGGTAGTATTCGGAACTTGTTTTTCAACTTTTGTCTTCTGCCCTAGTGTATCCGCTCCTTGGTTTAATATGGAACTCTCGTGACGCTTTCTAATAACTGTGTCGTCTGCTTCGGGAAGTTTACTCATTGTAAATAAATTTACTTCTTTAAGTCATCGTGACTGCTGAAACAAGTAAAAATGGAACATTAATTTTATCTTTACGAATTCATAGTTAGCGTGCTAGTGTTTAACAAAAGCACTTTTTTTTAAATTTCTACCGCTGAAAATGCATATTTTAATCATTATGGAAATTAAGATTATTTCAATTTCTGTTATGGGAAGAGTTATACAAACGGTACCATAAACTCGTACTTTGTGAAACAAAATAATGAAGGTTAGAATTTTACGATAAGCTGTTGTCTAAACTTTGAACACCTAATCCTACTAATATTTTAAAAGCATATTTAATGTAAATTGTATGTCAACAATAAGTATACAATATTACTTATAGATCCTCCAAACACAGTCTATAGTTAATCTTGTTTTTATTTAGACTTAAAAACATATAGTTAAAATTGTTCAATATTTATATTGTAAGTAACTTAATTGTATGCGTCTTATACTAAAAAGAAAAACCAACTTCCAGACACTGTCAAGTTCTATAGTTCGTATAATTTGAAATTAATTCATTCATTCATTCTTTTATTAATTATTATCATCAAAAATATCATATAATTACCATATAAATTAATTGTGTCAGACATTCCGCAAGTATGAATGTTGATATATGTTTATGTTGTGAAAGGGCCAAATTACATTGAAAAAAAACTTTAGTTGTCTTTATTGTATATGAATGTGGATATGTTTAAATACTTTTAGTTGATGTTTTACTATGATGATGATGGTTATCATTATCGTCGTCATTATCATCATCATCAATATACTGTAAGACAATATCGTTTTAAGGAGGGTAATATAAAACAGTAAACATCCTATGACAAGATATATAAGACAATAAACATCCTTTGATGTGTAATGTAAACATCTTTTGGTGTATGATTTAAGACAGTGAAAATCCCATGGTGTGTGATTTAACACAGTAAACATCCTATGGTGTGTGATTTAAGACAGTGAACATCCTATAGTTTGTAATTTAAACAGTGAACATCATATGGTGTGTAATGTAGGACAGTGAACATCCTATGGTGTGTGATTTAAGACAGTAAACTTCCTATGGTGTGTGTAATGTAAGACAGTGAACATCCTACGATGTGTCATGTAAGACAGTGAACATCCTATGGTGTGTAATTTAAGACAGTGAACATCCTACAATGTGTCATGTTAAACAGTGAACATCCTGTGGTGTGTAATTTAAACAGTGAACATCCTATGGTGTGTGATTTAAGACAGTGAACATCCTATGGTGTGTGATTTAAGACAGTAAACATCCTATGGTGTGTGATTTAAGACAGTAAACATCCTATGGTGTGTGATTTAAGACAGTGAAAATCCCATGGTGTGTCGTGTAAGACACTGAAAATCCTATGGTGTGTGATTTAAGACAGTAAACATCCTATGGTGTGTGTAATGTAAGACAGTGAACATCCTACGATGTGTCATGTAAGACAGTGAACATCCTATGGTGTGTAATTTAAGACAGTTAACATCCTACAATGTGTCATGTTAAACAGTGAACATCCTGTGGTGTGTAATTTAAACAGTGAATATCATATATTGTGTAATTTAAGACAGTGAACATCATATTATTTGTAATTTAAGCCAGTGAACATCCTATGCTGTGTGATTTAAGACAGTGAAAATCCCATGGTGTGTGATTTAAGACAGTGAACATCCTATGGTGTGTCGTGTAAGACACTGAACATCCTATGGTGTGTGATTTAAGACAGTAAACATCCTATGGTGTGTGATTTAAGACAGTGAACATCCTATGGTGTGTGATTTAAGACAGTAAACATCCTATTGTGTGTGATTTAAGACAGTAAACATCCTATGGTGTGTGATTTAAGACAGTGAAAATCCCATGGTGTGTAATTTAAGACAGTAAACATCCTATGGTGTGTGTAATGTAAGACAGTGAACATCATGTGGTGTGTAAGGTAAGATAGTTATCATCCTATGGTATGTGATGTAAGACAGTGAACATCATATGGTGTGTAATTTAAGACAGTGAACATCCTATGGTGTGTGATTTAAGACAGTGAACATCATATGGTGTGTAATTTAAGACAGTGAACATCCTATGGTGTGTAATTTAAGACATCGACCATCCTATGGTGTGTGATTTAAGACAGTAAACACCCTACGATGTGTCATGTACGACAGTGAACATCCTATTGTGTGTCATGTAAGACAGTAAACATCCTATTGTGTGTAATTTAAGACAGTAAATGTCCTATGGTGTGTAATGTAAGACAGTGAACTTCCTATTGTGTGTCATGTAAGACAGTTAACACCCTTTTGTGTGTAATGTAAGACAGTGAACATCTTATTGTGTGTCATGTAAGACAGTAAACACCCTATTGTGTGTAATGTAAGACAGTGAACATCCTATTGTGTGTCATGTAAGACAGTAAACACCCTATTGTGTGTAATGTAAGACAGTGAACATCATATTGTGTGTAATTTAAGACAATGATCATCTTATTATAAGATATATAAGACAATAAACACACTTTGATGCGTAATGTGAACGAAACTGTATTCATTACATAATGCATGATTGATGCCAGGAGAGGAATTTTGTTTCGCAGAAAAAATGTGACAAAATGTGATATTAGGGAGAAACTGTAATAAATAATATACGTATCATCTTAGATATATATAACATGAAGAATGGTTAACTAAATGAATGACGCCAATAACTACACTATAAAATAGTAAGTAAGTAACAATGGAAACGAATGGATGATATTTTGAATCCCCTTCCAAAACGTTTGTGTAATAAGTCGATTCTCTCTACTAATCTTTTGATTTTGTTCTGAAGTAAAACGAATTGACTTAGTTCCTAGCTTTCATATAGCCATAACTGTCTAACATTTTACAATCTGCGAAATCCAATTCATGTAAAAGTGAGTGTTAAAACTTATTGTCAATCATTTTAATCCTTTATGCACGTGCATATTAGGCCTACTCATATCCTACATATTTGATTTGTCCTTCGCTTTTAAAATGTGTTAGTATGAAAGCGCAATATGTATCCGCGCGGAAAGCTTATTTTGGTTTCCCTTTCACTTTCTTCACTGATTTATAATTGCTATATTGATGTTTATGATAAGATTAAACATGTATTGATAAGATCACAATTTTTATATCATTAGTGAACAAAAGTATGCATGTTTTATTCCGCATGTTTACAGATAATCAAGAGATCGTTTCAATAAATAAGCTACACTGAAAAACATCAAACCTGTATAAAAGACCAGCTTCGAATAAAAATTGCTTTGAAAAAAACATCTCAAATAATTTTATCGTTACAGTTTTCAAATTTTCCGTTGCAACGTTTAATTATAATACGATCAAAGTTCGGAAGAACTAATACAGAACGGCTCTTACACTTGCATCTATAGACAGGTTTTACTGTACGGCCATATATCTCTCTAGAATGGAATCAGAAGCGGAAATAAATTAGTTAAACAACAAAAACATCATGGTGAATTGTTTGCTGTTACCAGCTGTTGGTTCATTTTCTGCGTCAAAACATTTTTTCTATCGAATCACTTTTGAATGTAAAACACGCTAACAAATTATATGAAAAGCTTCTTCAGTACATTATTATATACTGTAAGCCGTACTTTTCGTTATACAGTGTTTATGTGTATTAACCTTCTTAATAATGATATCATGTATGATATCAAAATGATGTCAGTATTAAGCGCAGAGAAAAACTCAAAAGAGTTTAGAAACCATGTTTGTTTGTGGCCTGGTTAGCACAAAATAAAAACTTAACCCAAGTCGTATGCACATTTCCTTCCTTTGCATTGTACTGTTCAATCATATTTGTGTGTAGGCGACGGTGTCTATTCACAAGTGACACTGCACCTAGTCTTATTCTTATACCTAGCTGGCCGGTAACTATAACTTGACCATTTCTAAAGGATGAAGCTTAAGTCGGGATGGGCCTGTTTTAGTTCTAGGTTTTCAGATCCCCGACATTCACATATAAAAGTATGTCAGAGATGTACATGTCCTAGTACAAGGTATCGGACCTGGACAAACAAAACGACAGGGAGGCACCCGTCCTGGTGCAAGGTATCGGACTCGAACCATAAACTGCACTTTTTAACTCTGTATCATTGCTACATGTAGTATCAGGCGACAACTACAGCTAAATTCAGCTAGATGCAAAGTTAGATAACCGTTTAAAAATACAGTATTAATGATGTTAATTTAGATCTTTACTGTCCAGAATTGAGAACATTTTATATATGTATTATGCAATAGACTGAAACTCGATACACAGTTTATATCAAAAGCAGATTAATCTTATTTTTCAGTGTTTTCATTATCTATTGACTACCACTAAATAAATTCAACTGAGATTTTTCACGGAATTACAAAGAGTTGTTTCTTTTAAAAAAAAAATGACAGAATGAATATATTCTCTTTTAAAAATCACTAAATTCTGATGATTCACCCTAAAATTTAAAAAAACTAATGATATACTTACATATTGAAAGTCCAAACAGAACTGATTTAATATCCTGGCATCATAACTTGATTGTACCATGTATGTATGTATGAGTCAATTATATTAGCGAAAAGTAATTTGCATAACTACGTTCAATTTATGGAAAATTATCATACATACATATAAAGGTCATGTCGAATATGCTGCCTGTCTTCTGGGAAAAATGAAATCAAATTTATAGCGAAATACGAGTGTTGGAATATGTCGATATTTTATGTCAGTTTATAGGTGCAAAGTCACGTGCATATTTAATATCTTTCTCTTTTCCTGTTGTTTTTCTTTTTGTAATTCAAACTTTAGTTCAGTTTTGCCTCATTCTTTATACAAAAACAATCAAAACGTATTTTAGTCAATTAGATCTCATACTTTTCCGGTCAATGAAAAGGAAACTCTGCTCAAGGTTAGAATAATAAATAATATATTTTTTGAAAATATTGACTCTAATGTTAGTAAAGTATCTAAAGCACATATATGTTTATCCATTTATATAGTTTACACTTTCTTGATTACTTTAAATTATTTACTTTAAAAAGCAGCACGAAAAACTGGCACTTTTCACATAACACTACAAAAAGTAAAGCACTGTATTTTTTATAGAACAAACACGCGCGCTATCTTGTGCATACAGCTGTCGCAAATTCAATAAATTATTTCCTTTCTGTATATTCAATCTAAACAGTATATAATTTACAGCTAGTTACATGAGAGAAAGTCACGACGTATCAATGCTATATTTCTATTTATATATACACCGATTATTTCTAACTTTTCGAACAATTAGATCTATCAGCAAGTTTACACTTAAAATTTATGTATTGATCTTGCATTAAAATCTGTTCATTAAAAATACATGTAATTGCATATGAAAAACAGTTTATTACAATTTTTCTGTTGTTTTTCAAGTCCTGTGAGCCTTGACTATTCTATTTACATTTAGATCTACAAGTATACCTTACGATAAATTTATTCAAAACGTATCGATTTTACATTTATAAACATACATTTTTTGTTTACGTTTGAGAAGAGAATATTTTATACATCTCGTCATACCTGAACTAAACTATATTAAACATGTATATCTTGAGGCTAACTCACATTTTCAGATAATTGTTTATTTACTAGTTTAACGCACAGGGATCTGATATTATCCCTACCGATACCCCCCCCCCTTCCCCTTCCCCCTTGCACCCCCCCCCCCCCATTTACAGTATCTAGACTACTACAACCCCCAATACAGTAGTCTAGATCTATATAAAATATGTCTTTTCCCACATAGATCTAGTTCATTAATAATATGACACTCTATTGGGCAATTTTCATAATACTTCTATAGTGTTGTAACAAATGACATTTATATTTTTGGAGGTTGTAGCAGGGACTGTCCAGAGAGGGTGTAGCGGTAGTGGAGAATATTAGATCATTTGAAGCGTCTTATCCCTGTGGTTTACGTACATGTACAGTATGTATACAACATCGCGTAAATTATTCTAATGTTGAAATAGATTTACATAGGTTTGATTAAAGCTCGTAATATTTTTCACCTACTGTAACCATATAACTCAAGACTTACTCATTGCCATAGAAGTCTGCTATGTTCTGTAACATTTTGTCAAATATTAAAACCATTCATATTTTTCTCATTTCCTGCTACTGAGATAAAACCTTGCAGCGTAATTACGTCACATGGTTAGTCTATGATGACGTCACAGGATTAGCAGCAGCAAAAATTAAAGACGCATTTATTTTTGTTTTAGTTTTTTTTTGGGGGGGGGGGGGGGGGAAGGGGTATTTGTTGTTGTTTTTCGGGAAAAAGTAATAAATAGATGTAGAATGAAACCATTTAAATAATCTAAAAACATGGTTTAACTAGACAAAAGCAGGATAAATCGAATACATGATTGTTATCGGGATGGAGGAGGTTTATAAGTTAACTTCTCTATTCTGACATCAATCAGTAGGCCGGGCCCTATTCCAATTTTTTCTTCTCGAGGTGTTGAAAGCCTGAAAAATGAACAAAGAAATCCTGGTAGATCTACTGTAACAAACATGAATTAAATAATGCGACACACAAATAGAGATCTACACGTTCGTAAAAAAATGGTAGATCTATTATATTGCGCGGCCGTGCATATATTTTGAGGTGATGCCCTTTGCGTTATAAAGAAACATAAAATTATAACGGTGCCGCCGTTGAAGTTAGCTTTTTGAAATTGCGCCCTGAGTCACCTACGCAATGACAGCACTTTGTCACGTGATTTCATCTGTTTATGCACGTTTTCTTCTCCGTTAATGTAGATCTTATTCTATATCTGCGTGCGCAATTTTTATGCAAGAATGCATGTCTGAAATCAAGAAAGAAATTAAATGTATGGTAATGATAGAATATCGCTGAAGAATAGGCATGTATGCTGTTAAAGCAACAAACCAACGTGTGCATTAAACAAGACTTTTCCCACATTTTGCAAAGGTATAGAAACATAACATAATTTGCCTAAACATGACTGCGTAACTAAAGCCTATTGTTACCTTTTTTATTCTCAATAAAACATGCTACTAAAATATACAGAACAGAACAGAAATTTTATTTTTGTAGACTTAAACAAAGTACATCGTCTTGTTAACATGAATTGAATAATATATACAACATAATCACATAAATATATGTATGGCGAGTCATTATAATAAATATAAACATAACAATTACAAGCACCAACGTTCATGAGAGGATAAACTACAATTGAGAGTTCAAAATTGTATTTCTTAGCTTTAAAGCTTCTTTGATATATTGGCAAACATTTATTAATATTTTTTTATTTTCAATACACAATAATTCAGTAAATTTGAACATAGATGGTCTGTTATAATAGTAACTTTTTATATATTTTTTACGTAAATCTCCAAAACTTGAACACACATATGAATTGATACTCATCCTCTATATCCAAAACATTACAGCACTGACAGTATCTTTGTTCACGAGGAATGTTATTAGTGGCATACCTTCCTGTTTGTATTTTGAGAGGATGAACAGATAGTCTTAATCGACAAAAATACATTCTAAATTTACGTGGTAAAATGTCAAGATAATTTTCGTAACTAAGACACAATTTAAAATGTTTGTAATTACATAAAACAGAACTTCGATCTAGGATACTGGCCCATTCTTGTTTATACGTATCAATAACTCTACTTTTAAATTTTTGAAGAAACAATTTAGGATCTATATAATTATCACTATCAAAAATATCAGCAAAACCATAATCACATAACAACTTTTTCACATTTGAGACCCAATTTTTACACCCTCTTTTACAATCAATTACACCTTCTCTATACATTGTATTTAAAATGATATTATCCGAGTTTTTCAACTTGCATCAAAATTTAATTATTCTAACATAACGGGACACATATAATGGATATCTTCCTAATTTACCATAAACAGCAGCAGAACAAGTATTAGGTCTTACATTTAATAATCGTTTGCAAAATTTTTAATGAATTCTTTCTATTTCTTTAGATTTTGTGTAACCCCATATTTCAGATCCATATCCTAAGATTGAGCCTACAAATGCATCAAATAACTGGCATAATGTTTTTGGTTTTAAATCAAATTTCTTACAGTTATGAAATAAAACATTTAGAGCCTTTAATGCTTTCCCTATTAGATGTTCCTGATTAAGTGTGAAATTACCAGTATAATTAAAAACAGTACCAAGGTAGTTAAAATCATTTACAATATCTAGGATTTGGCCGTCGTAGGTCCAGTATTACAATATGAATATAAAAGATCTAAATTATTTTGAAGTTCTATTGGTGACTTGCCCACGATGGCCATATCATCAGCAAATAATAATAAAATCAATATAACATCATCAAATGTCAAACCAGTTTCAATGTTGTCTTGCAAATAAAGTTCCAAATCCTCAACAAAGAGAGAAAATAAAATTGGAGAAATTACCTCCCCTTGACGTAGGCCAATGGCATAATTGAAATAATCAGAATAACTAGAACATGACTTAACACATGATTTTACATTTTGGTACATATCTCTAATTATTCTTAACATTTTACCTTGGATACCTATTTTATACATTTTGAGCCATAATGCGTTTCTGTAAAGACTATCAAAACATTTCATCAAATCAACAAAAACTACATATAAACGTTTATATTGATTTAAATATTTTTGGATTAAAGACAAAAGAATAAATATAGCATCCATTGTAGAACGCCCTTTTCGAAAACCGAATTGAGCATCAGATATAATATTATTACTTTCACAAAAAGTTTCAATTCTATTATTAAGCACAGTGGTAAATAATTTTGAAAGACAGCTAACTAATGTTATGCCTCTATAATTGTTAACATCATCAGTACTACCCTTCTTATGCAAAGGTATTATAATTCCCTCAGTCCATTTCTCTGGATAAAAACCCGAATTTAAAATAGCATTAAATATATCACACAAATGCGCACCTATTATATCAAAACCTTCTATGAAATATTCATTTATTAAATAATCACTACCTAAAGATTTACCCCTTTTCAATAATTTAACAGCTTTTGAAATTTCCTCTAAAGTTATTGGTTTATCTAATTCTTCAAATGGAGTATTCAAGTCATTAAAAGAATGGCTTTCACAAAAATTTTCCGCATCAATATTTGTACAGTTAAATAAATCACTACTTATGCTCTCAAAAGATCCTTAAATACATGTACAGGGATACCGTTATGTTTTGAACTGGATTTACTCTTAAAATATTTCCAAAATTGTTTCGGATTACTATGCTTTAAATTTTCTAATTCAGACATTTTTTTATTGTTAAATGTCTTTTTCTTTCTGCGCACAATATCTTTATATTTCTTTTTACAATTACATAATATTATTCTATTTGAATCATTAGTACATGTATTAAAAACCCGTAATGCTTCAAATAATGTATTTCTTGCATTAATGCATTCTCTGTCATACCATTCAGAGTTATCTAATACTGATTTATCACTAAAATTGGAACATGTGTTAAATTTACAACATTTTCCAAATAAAGGGTCCGCTACGCTCCGAACAACAGAAGTGAAGTCATTTAATACACTATTTATAGAGTCTCTGTTTGAAAAATTAATATCATCAATAATAGCATTTAGCTCAGGCAATTTAGCTATCAGACCGCTACGAAAATTATTGGTGTGTATACTATCCCATTTAAAAATAATCTCTGAAAAACTATCAGGTTTATTTACATTATTATTACAAAATAAAGAAAAACGCAAAGGCGCATGGTCACTCCATTCATTAATAGAATCTATAGTAAAATTGTCCACCAATGAAAAGTTACGTTCATTGGTCAGCAAATAATTAATAACCGATGCGCCTCTAGGAGAAACATAGGTGTGTTGGACCGTATTTGGTACAAAAACGAATATGGTACAAATGTACCATATTCGGTCGAATATGGTACAAATGTACCATATTCGGACCGAATATGGTACAATTTTCGACCGAATATGGTACAAACATTGTACCATATTCGGTTGGAATAAGTTTTTCTATGCTCGCCAAAACGTATTTGGTACATACCAAAAAAACTCATAAAATGAAAATGGCCTACGTATATGGTACATAAATTATGTATTTCTTAATAAATGAAATAGTCTGCCGATGTGTA